GACTCTATATCTGGCAAAACAGTCCATGTTTGGCACTTCTTTCAAAATCTGTTTTCTCAAAACGATTTGTCGAATTTGGACTCTTTGGTTCAGATTAAGAACCGTAACACAAATCACAAAAGCTTCATGAAGCTAGACCTAAAACATGCTAGAAAGTGGCATTACAAGGTAGGTATGCTAAGCATGCATGGTGTACCAAAACTAATTAAAAAAAGAGGTATATTATGACATAATAAGCACAAAAAATAGCCAAGGCATGGTCAGCATGAAGCTTAGCTAGGTGCTCCCTTAAGAGGCCAAAAATGGTCCATTTCAAGGACAACAAGGAGAGGGGGTGGCCCTCTCCTTCTTGGGACCTCAAGGCACCATCCTCACCTCTGAAATCCCTCAAGATTTCAGTGGTGAGGAGGCCCAAACACCAAGGTCTCGGAGCTTACACAAAATAGCACAAAATGGAGCCTTACAAGGCATAGGAGGGGTCAAACAACCTCAAACAACAAAACACCCTAAATAAACTATTTAGAGGGCCTAAAAATAGAACTTTTTTTTATTATACACTAAGCACAAAAGTAGTTCTAAGATAGGTAAAACAAGTATGCAAGAATGGGGAATAAAGGGACTAGTTTCTTACCCTTGAAGACCCCTTTAACAATGGTGGACCAGCAGCTTCTTTTAGGTTGAAATCAGCTTCAAAACCTCAAAAACAACCCTCAAGAGGTCTCAGCTCCAAGGGATGGTGTAATGGTGGGTGCTTGTGAGCAAAAGTAAGACAAAACACACACACTAAGCTCAAGAAAGAGAGAGAGAGAGAGATATAGGATAGATACAAATTCCTAACCCTAATATCAAAACCCTCTGAAATGTTGTCTAACCCTAATGCCAAGAGAGGAGACTCTCTCTTATAGAGCTCTCTCTTGTAAAGCTTGTCAAATAAGCTTGCTTAGAGGGAAATCCCTCCATACACGTGTATGGAGGGAAACAAAGTTGGTGCCAGCTATCACAGCTGGCACAAAATATCTACATAAAGTAGATGAACGGTAGTCAGCTTCTCAAAGATGCCATTTTGACAAAATTGAGTGCCGATCGGCAACAAAAAGTGCCGACCGGCAATATATATTGCCGATGGCAACAAAACACCAGCCGGTGGCTTCTGGCCATGGCCGGTGATGTGTGGGGATGCCTCACAACAAAACCAGACACTAAACAGTCGAGTTCGGAGATCCTGAGGCAGGGCGCATAGCCAAGACCTCCGGGAACTCCAAACGAACACAAACATGGATGATCACCGGGTGTTCAAATGGTGACGTCCAAGTCTTGAGGACGGTCAAAAATGGGGTGTCTACAGGTACCAACCCGATGGAACAGATCATGGAAAGGGCAGTTACCAACTTTTTACAGGCCTTGCAAAGCAGCATAACCAATGGGACATTAGAAAGACGAGAAGAATCGACTACGATTAAACAATTTCAAGATCTGAAACCCACTACGTTTATTGGCAGTCCAAACCCACTAGTAGTAGAGGCTTGGGTCAGGGACATGGAGAAAATCTTCCGTGCACTACCTTGCACAGAAAGACAAAAGGTGACTTTTGCCACCTTCACCTTCAAGGACGATGCACAAGAATGGTGGCTCCTTACCTTGGAAAAGGAAGATATTGTGACTTGGGCACGATTTTTAGAAGTATTCTATGAAAAGTACTTTCCAGATTCACTACGGGAACAAAAAGCATCAGAATTCATACATCTAAGGCAAAGAACCATGACAGTGGCCGAATATGAAAGTAAGTTCACACAGCTAGCTCGGTTCGCGACATATGTCATCCCCACCGAAGCTTAAAAAGCCAGGAAATTTGAAGCAGGGTTGGATCCTGAAATTAAGGACAGGCTGGAGGTTCTGAAACTGCCAACCTATGCAGTGGTGGTAGATCGAGCATATATTGCGGAAAAAGGGATTAAAGCCTTGCGATTTGGGGAGCCAAGTCAGAGGAAACGATTTTGGGAAAGAGATAACAGAAGGCCCAGTGTCACACCTCCCAAGAGAATAAATACGAGCACAACCAATTCAACCGGTCCAAGCAATCAAAGTCTTACAGACCCTAAAGGTGGCATCATTCCAGCTTGCTCTACCTGTGGAAGGACTCATTGGGGACCATACCGTCAAGATACGAGAGCATACTTTAGATGTGGCCAAGTTGGCCATTTACTGAGAAATTGTCCAAAGCTCGTCCATATATGCACAAAATTTAAACACATAATTAGGCAAATTCTCTGAATAAATTAATATACATGTGAGGATCGTCACACAGTTGTTATCAATTAGACTAAACTAACACAAAAGCATAAATTCATGATCAAAATCGAGTACATTAAATTTATAAGGATCAAAATAATATAAGGGCCAAAACATATAGACCATCAATGTAATTTATCACTGTATATATTAACCATGTGTTGCATATAGCAGCTGAGAAGGCTGCAAACTGATGATACTCCCCAGAATTCGGAATTTTGGAGAAGTTTCACATCCATATGGTTCATTTGGATACTATTTGACGATTTTTGCAGGTAATATATAGTTGTATCAGGTACTCATAACTCTGCCCGTAGAACAGGCTATCTTGACATGACAAATGTTAACTTCTACCGAACAATACGAAGAATTTTGTTATTCAGACTATAGCCAACTATTTCCCAGCATGGACTTGGACGGAGTCAGTTCACATAAAAAACAAAAGTAAATTCCACATTTAGAAAAAAAGGTCATCATTTTTGTTTAAATTTTTTTTTTTTTTTATTTTGTTGGAATTCCATGTTGTCTTATGGAAATCAGATTATGCCATCAAGTGGTTACCTTATGAAATCAGATTATGCCATCAAGTGATTACAACCCGATGGAAATCAAATTATGCCAAAGGGAACTAACTTCATATTTCATTGAAATCAAGTGGTTACCTTATGAACTTCAGATTACCGTCCATCTGCTGCAAAGTCTACTCACATTATGCCTTATAACCTATTCGAAGCACATAACAACAAAAATTTGCATAGCAACTTTAGAAACCAATTCTATGCCAATATGATCCATATTTTTCTACAACTTGCATTAGCTTATCAATAAAATTATGTTTACCGAATTGTAGGATGACCATCTGAACCCTGCAAGAGGGTTGTCAGTCGTGACACCACGTCGTTCAAATGATTGAGTTGTACTTGTTGTGCCTCCCGTGCTTTTTTTTCCTCTTCAATTTGTTTCATCAGCTCCTTTCTTTCCCTCATAATTTCCTCCCTATCTCTTTGCCGCTCCTCTTTCTCCTTTAGCAACTCCTCGTGATCTCTTTGCCGCTCCTCTTTCTCCTTCAGCAACTCCTCGTGATCTCTTTCACGCTCCTCACGAAGAGCCTCCAATTCCGTTCTCATTGACTCCATATGTTTGTCACGTGCTCGTGCCACATTCGAAGCTGTTGAAGAGGGTTGTGGGCCTATCCCACATCCACGCAAGTAATTTTTTTTTGCCCCGAGCACTTGCCTTGATAGTTCTTCGTGGGTCAATGGCAACCCCGCATCGGTGGCTACGACTTGTAGATTGACCATATCATCCTATCATGGCAAAAAAATAAGAAAGTCAAGATAGTTGAAGGAATTGAAAACAACTTTAGTAATTGATACACAACAAAATTGGTTTCAACATTCAATACTCACATGTAGCTCACCACATTTGGGGTCAATCCAGTCTCCCGTCTTCTTGGACTTGTGTGATTTCTTATAAAATTCAGGGAAATCTATTTGTCCATCCTCATTTGCCTATTATGTTTCAAAAATTTCCATTGATGAAGTACTACATAGTAATATTCAAAATGAAGAAGAATCAATCATCCATTATATTACTAAACAAATAACTACTTCTCACCATAAGCGACATTGCTATAGGAAATGATCGCGATCCACTTGTATGATTGTACGGGAGCATAGCCCTATTTGCTTTACCAGCTTTAGAGCGTTTCTAACAAGAAAAAAAAAATTACAAACATAAACCAATTTTGTTAGAATTTTTATTCATATTCACATCAATGAATTTCAAGAATGGGGTTTCTAATTAATTTGTTACCAAGTGAGATTCGTCTTTCCAAGCAACATCAATAAGATATCTCCAGTCATCCAAGCTCACTCCACTAGGCGGATGACTATACGGGTCATCAACACCCTTTTCCTCAAGTTCGAGGAACTCTTGCTTTAGATTGTACCTCCAATCCTTGTATAGCAAATATGCCTTTCTATCAAGAATTTGTTGAGCTTGTTCATCATTATCAAAATCATCCCCGATAACAAACTTGTCCTACAAACATAATAAGACAATTACTACATCAATTAATTTAAGCAATTACAAATAACTTAATAACGACATTATGGGAAGATAAATCTCGTACTAGCACCGCTTGGATGACCGCATCTTTGGTACTTTCATTGATTTTCGTCCATGACTTCACGCTCTGAAGAGGGCACAACCGTCTAATTTGCAATCCCAACTCATTCGTCGCTGGGGTTGCATTCCCTCCTGTGATTGCGTTCAACACCCGATTGACATACACATGTAATTTCTCTCCTTTTTTCCTGGCTATTCTTTTTTGCACTCCTTTGCCCAATGTACGTCCTCGTACACGAGTTGCTCTTTTTCGCCCTGCTACAAAAGGGGAAGCACGCCACAAATTACAAACAGATTTAAGGTAAGATGTTCGAGTATTGCTTGTTGCTTCAATTTAAAAAATAAAAATACATAAACACATATAAGCATCTTAATTACAGCGAAGACAATAACTGACTATGAAACTAATATCGTTAATTACAAGTGTACAACCCTTGGTTTCTTTTAAGTTTAGAACTCAACTAAATCAATGAACTTTATGTTTAAAAACATATGTTTAAACAGTGTGCGTTACTACTGTTTGCGTTATTTATGTGTTTTTCTCATCAGCTGAGTCAACAAGAATAGGTTTCTCCAAAGCAAGGGCTGTGTACTTCTCTGACAGCTTCTTCAGTAGTTGTTCCAAACACTCGGTACTACTGCCAGCAGAAACCACGTTCTCTGTAACAGAATCCTTCAGCAAATCATGCACCAAATCCTCCAATATTCTTCTTATCTCACCTTCAATATGCTCCTGATTTCTGACTTTACCATGTGTTGCATATACCAGCTGAGAAGGCTGCAAACTGATGATACTCCCCAGAATTCGGAATTTTGGAGAAGTTTCACATCCATATGGTTCATTTGGATACTATTTGACGATTTTTGCAGGTAATATATAGTTGTATCAGGTACTCATAACTCTACCCGTAGAACAGGCTATCTTGACATGACAAATGTTAACTTCTACCGAACAATACGAAGAATTTTGTTATTCAGACTATAGAATGGTATCCGAATCAAGGCCTGTTATTCAGACTATAGAATGGTATCTGAATCAAGGCCTGTTTTCTTCAGTTTCTCCATTTCTTTTGCCATATCAATCAACTCCAAGTTCAGTTTATCGTTCATAGATTTGAATTGCAACCTCTCACCCAGAAGCACTGCCAGTTGCTCCATGAGGGTATCATAGTTATCAAGATGTAGAGGATCTATAAGGTTCTCATTTTGGTTAATGATCTGGCTTTGTTCTACATGCTGACATGAATCATTTACAAGCCTCTCAAGGTTACCATGGACCCCATGTAATACACCAATAGCCAATTCATTCTTTCTATGCAAATCATTGAACTTTTCAATCATGTCCTTGTATGAACTGCACATTGCTGTGGGATCTTTGCCAGAAGCTTCTAATTTTTCCTGCAGATTGTCAATCACTTTGGTTGCAGCATCAACAGAAGCAGCCACGCGGCTACCTATATTCAATGCATCAAGCTTCTCGACTGTCTGAACAACCTGACCAACAGTAGAATTCCATTCTTGCTCAAGTATTGATGCCCTCTCAGCTACTTCTTTATGCAGAACTTCCACTTGATTAGAGATAGAGGAAGCCATCTCATCTAAACTTGAGTGCATTTCATCCAACTGTCTCTCCAATACACTAATACGTGGCTGATAGTCACCAAGCTTTTTAACAAGCTCACTGTTCTCTGCTCCAAGAATAGTACTGTGTTGCCTTACTGTTTCATACAGACCCAGAAGCTCACCCTTCTTTGCTTCAATATCACACACATGTTGCTTTATAAACTCATATAAAATAATGACTTCGATATTTGCTGCTTCAGAACTGATATTGTGTTCCTTCAGAGCTTCATAAGCAACCTTGAGCTCCTCAAGTGCATCATCAGCAAGATATGGATATGGCTGCTGCTGCCGCTCTAAGGATTGCCCTATTTTTTAGACAATTATTAAATAACAGCCCATTCTGGTTTGAATGTGCACCCTTCCTCCTTCTTCCTTGCCTCTGTTCAGTGCCTTTCATCTTTAGATCGTCCTTTCTCATTGTTCTAGCAGTAGCACTCTGCAATGGGCCATCCCTCTGTTGTTTATCCTTGAAGGCTGAGTTCTCCACTGTAGACAAAGCCTTGGACTGGGCTATACAGTCACTCAAATTTGAATTAACCACCCTCCTTGGCCTATTAGTCATAGGCTCAAATTGGGCTCCATTTAACACAACTTGTAAATTGATGTTGGGCCTGCCACACTCTAATCCATTCAAACTATTCATATAGCCAATAGTGCAAATCTGATCATCGACCTCTTGAGCCCCCCATTCTCTACTATTCTTGAACAGACCACATGCACCACCCCTATTTCATTAGTGCAGCCCCCAACGTTTGGTTTCCCTAGAGCACACTCAGTTTCTTTAACCACTGAACCAGGCATACAATCATTACCTCCATCTACATCATCTGACAACCCTTCCACTGTGTGATTTCCATTGATTGACCCTTCAACACTTTTTGCCACATCATCCTCGTCATCCTCCTCTGCAGATTTACCACCTTCCACTACCTTCATCTCCATTTTCATCTGTCTCCGTATGTGTAGATGCTCTTTTTCAACCAATTTCTCTTGCAAAGCAGATACCTCCTTCTGCAACTTATCATTCTTAAGTTCAAAATGGACTGCCTTCTCTGACACCTCATCATAATCACGAGTTAGAATCTCCAAACTATCAGAGGGATGCTCTTTTTCAACCAATTTCTCTTGCAAAGCAGATACCTCCTTCTGCAACTTATCATTCTGAAGTTCAAATTGGACTGCCTTCTCCGACACCTCATCATAATCACGAGTTAGAATCTCCAAACTATCAGAGAGAAAAGATATAAGACGCTGCAAGCGTGATTCAAGCTTTTCTGAGTCAATGCCAGTTCCATTCAGCTTAACGGCACCTTCAACATCTTCAACCAGCTTTAGAATGGTATCTGAATCAAGGCCTGTTTTCTTCAGTTTCTCCATTTCTTTTGCCATATCAATCAACTCCAAGTTCAGTTTATCGTTCATAGATTTGAATTGCAACCTCTCACCCAGAAGCACTGCCAGTTGCTCCATGAGGGTATCATAGTTATCAAGATGTAGAGGATCTATAAGGTTCTCATTTTGGTTAATGATCTGGCTTTGTTCTACATGCTGACATGAATCATTTACAAGCCTCTGAAGGTTACCATGGACCCCATGTAATACACCAATAGCCAATTCATTCTTTCTATGCAAATCATTGAACTTTTCAATCATGTCCTTGTATGAACTGCACATTGCTGTGTGATCTTTGCCAGAAGCTTCTAATTTTTCCTGCAGATTGTCAATCACTTTGGTTGCAGCATCAACAGAAGCAGCCACGCGGCTACCTATATCTACGCAATCATGATTGCCAATTGAGGGTGTGGAGGAAAACAAGCTCCTGATCAATGCATCAAGCTTCTCAACTGTCTGAACAACCTGACCAACAGTAGAATTCCATTCTTGCTCAAGTATTGATGCCCTCTCAGCTACTTCTTTATGCAGAACTTCCACTTGATTAGAGATAGAGGAAGCCATCTCATCTGAACTTGAGTGCATTTCATCCAACTGTCTGTCCAATACACTAATACGTGGCTGATAGTCACTAAGCTTTTTAACAAGCTCACTGTTCTCTGCTCCAAGAATAGTACTGTGTTGCCTTACTGCTTCATACAGACCCAGAAGCTCACCCTTCTTTGCTTCAATATCACACACATGTTGCTTTATAAACTCATATAAAATAATGACTTCGATATTTGCTGCTTCAGAACTGATATTGTGTTTCTTCAGAGCATCATAAGCAACCTTGAGCTCCCCAAGTGCATCATCAGCAAGATATGGATATAGCTGCTGCTGCCGCTCTAAGGATTGCCCTATTTTTTAGACAATTATTAAATAACAGCCCATTCTGGTTTGAATGTGCACCCTTCCTCCTCCTTCCTTTCCTCTGTTCGGTGCCTTTCATCTGTAGCTCGTCCTTTCTCATTGTTCTAGCAGTAGCACTCTGCAATGGGCCATCTCTCTGTTGTTTATCCTTGAAGGCTGAGTTCTCCACTGTAGACAAAGCCTTGGACTGGGCTATACAGTCACTCAAATTTGAATTAACCACCCTCTTTAACCACTGAACCAGGCATACAATCATTACCTCCATCTACATCATCTGACAACCCTTCCACTGTGTGATTTCCATTGATTGACCCTTCAACACTTTTTGCCACATCATCCTCGTCATCCTCCTCTGCAGATTTACCACCTTCCACTACCTTCATCTCCATTTTCATCTGTCTCCGTATGTGTAGCATCATCCTGACCCCTGTTTTTGGAAAAGTGATCGACCTCATGTGGCAAATTAGATTCCATGACTTCATTTTCTGGTAGCTATAATTGCGATTACACTAACAGTTATTGACTACTAGGTCTTCATACACTCCCACTTATTATTCTGTTAACATCCTACTTGGCAGCGAAAAAACAAAACAGACAGATTAACCTACAAATTAACAAAGGCATTCCTTACCAATCAGGTTAACAAGGCATTCACATTTTCTTTGTTTGTCTTCCTATTTATGGGGTTCTCATTGCCTTAAAGACCTGACTTAGGCAGCCCAGGAAAAAGGAAAAAAGAATTTGTAACGAAGTAAGTGAAATGCTCTTACCCACGCCACCTGGCTGCGTCTCCTCCACCACTGTTTGTGTATCATCTGGTGGCTGTGTCTCATCAGATAACGTCAACGGGGTGCCAATAACTGCTGCTGGACATGCTTCAGAGCCTGATAATACATTGCCACTTGTTGCTGTCTTCCGCCGCCCCGTCTTCATACCAGGAACCATGGTACCTACATAAGTAACCAGTTGGAGCCTTGTATTAAGTAACCAGCAGACTAACCATGAATAGAAACATCCCAACTCAGATTAACCAGCAGATTAAGCAACCAGCAGATTGACAAGATTAACAACCAGCGACAGCAGCCAGAGACAGACCAAAAAAACTTATCAAGATTAACCAGCAGATTCACTATGATTCACTATGAATTTGCTTCAGTAAATCTGCCAGCAGATGAGTAAACAGCAGCAAACATACATAAATCTGACTTCACTATGAATTTGCTTTTCAATTTTCTGCCAAAGTTCATACAAATTGTATAGGAAGTTAATTACAAGGGTATTAAGTCCATAGAATATGAATGTAGTTGGGAAATTGGGGTCCAAACAAGAAGAAGAAGAAGATGAAGAAGAACAAGAACAAAAAAAACAAAACAAGACATAATTAGTCTACTCACATTTAAAACTAATTTACTGAATAAACAAAGAATGAAGAAGTCATTTGAATAATTTTAGGGTGGTTATGACACAAATCCTTTAAGAAGTCCGAGCATCCTACATGTAAACATCAGGTTGATCGTTAGTATGGTTACATTGAACTATATTTACATTAAAAAAGCACCCCCATCGTAGTTATACCTCTTAATAGGATACATCCATCGATATTGCACAGGCCCTCCAAGCATAGCCTCATAAGGCAAATGAATTGCCAAGTGGACCATGACATCAAAAAAAGCAGGAGGAAAAATCTTCTCAAGCTTACAAAGTATAAGTACTATTTGTTCTTGCAATTGCTCCAAATCAGTGACCCGCAATGTCTTTGAGCACAACTATTTGAAAAAAGTTCCCAACTCAAACAATGTGGTCCCAATCTCGGTAGGAAGGTATCCTCGCATCCCAATGGGAAGAAGACGTTGTAGAAGGACATGACAGTCATGACTCTTAAGGCCAACTAACTTACCACCATTCGCAGTGACACAATTGGATATATTTGCAGCATAGCCATCAGGATACTTAATCGATTTCAAGAAATCATAAAACTCTTGTCTCTCTGCCAGGGACAATGTGTAGAATGCCGGAGGCTTCTCGAAAGAGCCATTCGCATGCCTTATCAAGTGTAACTCCTTTCGTATTCGCATGTCCTCCAGATCCAAACGTGCTTTGTCTGTGTCCTTGTTCTTGCCATCTATGGTCAATAGTGTACCAAGCAGACTGTCACATATATTCTTCTCTATGTTAGTATGGTTACATTGAACTATATTTACATTAAAAAAGCACCCCCATCGTAGTTATACCTCTCAATAGGATACATCCATCGATATTGCACAGGCCCTCCAAGCATAGCCTCATAAGGCAAATGAATTGCCAAGTGGACCATGACATCAAAAAAAGCAGGAGGAAAAATCTTCTCAAGCTTACAAAGTATAAGTACTATTTGTTCTTGCAATTGCTCCAAATCAGTGACCCGCAATGTCTTTGAGCACAACTGTTTGAAAAAAGTTCCCAACTCAAACAATGTGGTCCCAATCTCGGTATGAAGGTATCCTCACATCCCAATGGGAAGAAGACGTTGTAGAAGGGCATGACAGTCATGACTCTTAAGGCCAACTAACTTACCACCATTCGCAGTGACACAGTTGGATACATTTGCAGCATAGCCATCAGGATACTTAATCGATTTCAAGAAATCATAAAACCCTTGTCTCTCTGCCAGGGACAATGTGTAGAATGCCGAAGGCTTCTCGAAAGAGCCATTCGCATGCCTTATCAAGTGTAACTCCTTTCGTATTCGCATGTCCTCCAGATCCAAACGTGCTTTGTTTGTGTCCTTGTTCTTGCCATCTATGCTCAATAGTGTACCAAGCAGACTGTCACATATATTCTTCTCTATGTACATGACATCAAGGTTATGTCGAAGCTTAAGTGTTTTCCAATAGGGAAGGTCAAACAAAATGCTTCTTTTCATCCAGTTTGGAGTTGGCTTTTCAGTCCTTTGTCTTTTTTGGTTGGTTGGATGCTTTCCGTACGGCTTGTACGTCCCCAAATTAATTTGCTCGAGTATTTGTTCTCCCGATATCTCCACGGGTTTGGACCGATTCTCAATTTCACCGTTGAATAGCCTACTTTTTCGCCAAATATGGTTCTCAGGTAAGTACCGCCGAGCACCCATATACCCTATCTTACTTCGCAAACTCTAAGATGAAGCATCCATGTTGCAATTAGGGCAGGCCAAGTAACCTTTTGTACTCCAACCAGACAAGGAACCATATGCGGGGAAGTCATTGATGGTCCACATGACTGCTGCATGCATTGTAAATATTTGGCCATTTAAGGCATCATATGTTTGCACACCATACTCCCACAAAGTAGTTAACTCTTCTACTAATGGTTGCAAATAAATATCGATGTCTCTTCCAGGTGTGGATCATCCTGGAATAAGCAATGACAGCATGACAAATGTATCTTTCATACACTTCCATGGGGGTAGATTGTAAGGCATTAAGATTACGGGCCACATGCTGTACGATGTACTCATATTTCCGAATGGATTGAAACCATCTGTGGCAAGCCCTAGTCTTACATTCCGAGGATCCGCAGAGAACGTAGGAGGCAACCTATCAAAATCCTTCCATGCCTCACCATCAGCTGGATGTCGTAGTACTTATAGCGACCCCGACCTTCTCCCATTTGATTATTGTATCCGGACTTAGGTTCCATAGATTCTGTCATTATATAATGGTTGTTGTTGTCCCTTATTTTCTCATTTGGAATTATAGGATGTGTTGGGCAGATTTGTTTCAGGTTGGTTGGGTTTAGAAATCAAGTGTTGCTGTCCAGTATTTTGGATCTTCGCTCGAGCGAGGAGTTTGTCGCTCGAGCGAGCTGTTGTTTTTGGTTCTTCGCTCGAGCCGGGGTTTGGTAGCTCGAGCGAGAGTTTGTGTTTGGTTTGGACCTGTAGCTTTGCATTCTTGGCTCGAGCGAGCTTTTCTTCGCTCGAGCGAGTTAGTTCGTTCTTCGCTCGAGCAATAGTTCCTTCGCTCGAGCGTGTGTCTGGTTACAGACCTGAGGGTTTGAGTTCTTTGCTCGATCAAGCTTTCTTTCGCTCGAGCGAGCTTTTGGCTTGTTGGCTCGAGCAAGGCTTCCTTGGCTCGAGCGTTGTTTCTCTGTGTCTTGTCGCTCGAGCGACCAAGTCTTCGCTCGAGCGAGCCTGTCCAGTTTATATACGCAACAGCGGGTTTTGATCAGTCTTTTTCATATTCTTTTTGATTCCAAACCCTAGGTCCGACTTCTCTCTCCCTCTATTCACATTCTCTCTTAGATTTGATCCACTTAGGGTGTGTTTGTACCCTAGATCCTTCATTAAAAAGATAGAGTGAGTTGAGGGCTTTCATTTAATCTGAACATTTGGCGATTTGGAGCACATTGGTATTTGGGCACTATCTACTTCTAGTGTGAATCCATCTTAAGTTCTTTGTAAGAACGATAGAGGGCGGCTTGGGCTTCATTCTAATCTGAACATTTGGTGATTTGGAGCACATTGGAATTTGGGCATTCATCTCTATCTTCATTCGGGTTATTTTCTTCAAGGTAGGGATTTCCTACTCCATTTTATAGGTTTTGTTCTAACCTTTGGTAATTTGATATGTTGGGGATACTTTGGTAAATTTTGGGAAAAACCCTAGTTGTATTATTGAATTAATTTGTATAAGTAATTCATGGAATTGGGAAAAGATGGTTAAATTCATGGAATTGGGGAATTGATTGGTTAAATAGCGTAATTGGGTAATTGGAATTATTTGTCTATTGAATTGTTGACATAGTTATTTTCAGTTTTTCAGTTTAGAAATAACTGTTTTGGGCTATCGGTGGAGGATAGTCGTGATTGTTGTAGACATTGCATGTGGATTAGGAATAACTGAAACTAATCACGGTGGTTAAGTCATTAATTTTGACTATGGCATTGATACAGAAAATACGTGTATTGATTGAGCATTGCATTTGCATACATTGTTTTGTGTGTGGGAGGAGATAGGGGATGTACTCCACGGTTTAGGGGAAGATAGGGGATGGACCTCTAAACCGGATTTTGTTTGGGAGGAGATAGGGGATGGACTCCATTAGCACCACTATATGTGTGCTTATTGATATTAGAAGTATTTTTGTTTGATATTGATACAGCACTAAAATGTGTATCAATCTGGAACAAGCTGAACTTCTCCAAGTTCAACCATTCTAGTATTTATTGGAAGGATGTGAATATGATATATGTGATTCACTGTTATAAGTTTGGCCAGGTTCTGAGCCATGTTGATAATAATAGAAAGGGAAATATGTCTTAGATAATAGTGTCATGAGACTGTATAATGATGTAATTGATTATCTTGGTTAACCATTTGTTGAATGCTATTGCTTTATTCATTGCTTATATGTGGTTTAGTATATTTCTACTGTGCTATGGCTCACCCTTTATGGGAACATCATTTTCAGGTTCAGGCGATAAACTACCTCCAAGGACTTAGCTTGGGAGGGTTTGGCAATTGGATTGAAGAAGACTACCTTTAGTTAATAGTGTTATTTATTTGTATATGTAAACATTCAAGCCTAGGGCTTTTCTTGTATTGAGATTAGAACTCATATTTTTGACTCCAAGTGTTGGCTTCGAAAGATGTAAGCCTGTAGGGCATTTTATTTGATGTTACATGTAATGCTTTATTTAGTAATACTCTGATGAATGAATTAATATATATTGTCTTCTCTTTAAATAATGCCTGTCTATGATATATATAATGGGTTAATTTTGAGGACGTTACAACTTGGTATCAGAGCGTACCGGGTTTGAATACTTTCGGTACGTGGGACGTGATTGGTATCACATTGGGTTCGTCTCATTGGATAGAGACTTAGTGTAATGTTATATGCTTATGTGTTAACATGTTTATGTGATTATATGGGTATGGAATGTAGTTTCTAGGATGTTGATTGGACCCTTGAGTTTCTAGTAGTCTTGTTGGAAAGGCACTTGATCACTGCTGCTTCCAACTGGAACTATAGTAACGCATTAGGACTATCATTATCCGGGAATGAAATTCGTAGGTGCTTATGTGATTATGTGCTTACGTGGAATGAATTATTGTTGTCCATTGCATTAGGACGCGAGTG